TAATACTATGAAACGACTCTCAACTAGCTTTTACCCGCAACTGTCACTCACCTATCAGTAACTTGCACTCTCCACAAATCTTTGCTTAATCTAATACAGCTTTCTTTGTAAACACCCCTAACATTTCTCCTTTTTATGACAAAACTGGCAGACTTTCTCTTTATTCTTCCAAACATTCAACACTCTTCTCCTCTCGTAGGTATATATATGATATAGTTCACAAAGTTACAATCTTACATATCCCATAAACATTATATTTTTTAAATTCTTTCAAGGCTGGGCAGTGGTGGCTCACGCCTGTAATCCCCAGTACTTTGGAGTCTGAGGGCAGGCAGATTACTTGAGGTCAAGAGTTTGAGACCAGCGCTGGCCAACATGGTGAAACCTCGTCTCTATTAAAAACACAAAAATTAGCTAGCGTGGTTGGCATGCACCTTGTAACTCCAGCTACTTAGGTGGCTGAGGCACGGAGGATCACTTGAACCCAGGAGCGTCTGAGGTTGCAGGTGAGCTGAGATCACACCACTGCACTCCAGACTGGTGACAGAGTGATACTCTGTCTAAAAAAAAAAAAAAAATTCTCTTTCATTTTGCAACGAGCATGATGGAACCGGAGGTCATTATCTTAAGTGTAATTAGCAGGCACAAAAAGACAAATATCGCCATGTTCTCACCTTATTTGTGGGAGCTAAAAATTTTGATCACATGGAGGAAGAGAGTGGAAAAATGGGAGAAAACAAATCACAGAGACTGGGGAGGGTGAGGTGTGGACGAGGCGAGGATGAACAAAAGTGGGTTAAAGGGTACAAGATACAGTAAGAAGGAATTAATTCAATGTTGACAGCAGGAGTGGGGTATATAGTTAACAAAATGTTACTGTATTCAGGTGATAGCACCCTAAATGCCGCTGACTGGATCACTATGCCACTATATACACATAACAAAATGTCACTTACACCCCACAAATTTGTACAAATAAAAATAAAAATAAAATTATCTGTATATTTTATTTTGACTTCACACACAATCATTCTTGGCCAAGTTCACACAGCCAGTAGAGGCAAACTGGGACAGAAGTTTGTCTCCCAGCTCTCAGGCTAAACCCACCCCATCTTTGTGCTGTCTCTCTTGAAGGATGAATAAACATGGCTTTGGATTGATTTTCTTCTTTTTTTCTTTTTTTTTTGAGACACAGTTTCACTCTGCCTCCCAGACTGGTGTGTAGTGGCACGATATCGGCTCACTGCAATCTCCACCCCCTGGGTTCAAGTGGATTCTCACGTCTCAACCTCCTGAGTAGCTGGGATTACAGGTGCATGCCACCAAAGTCTGGCTAATTTGTGTATTTAGTAGAGACAGGGTTTCACCACGTGGCCCAGGACCAGGCTAGTCTCAAACTCTCGACTTCAAGTGATCCACCCACCTCAACCTCTCAAAGTGCTGGGATTACAGGCGTGAGCCACTGTGCCTGGCCTTGTTTTTCTTTTTAAATGTAAATGCATAGCACGGTTGGCTCACAGACATACACCTCACAAAAATGAATCACATAATCGCAGCTAACATTTGAAAAATTGAAAAAGTAGTTTAGGATAGTATAAAATTACATTCTTAGAAAAAAAATGTAATAAAAGATTGGCAAGATCTGTATGCTGAAAACATAAAACATTGCTGAGAGAAATTGAACAAGACCTAAATAAGTGGGAAGACATCCATCTTCATGTATTAGAAGCCTTAGTACTGTTAAGATGTCAGTTCTCTTTGATTTTATCTATAGATTCAATTTAATCCCAACTATGATTCCAATAGGGTCATTTTTTGGGGAAAGAAATTGACAATCTGATTCTTAAGTTTATATGGAAATTTGAAAGACCTAGAATAGCCAAAGCAATCTTGAAAATGAAGAGAGTTGGAGAATGTACACTACTGATTTCAAGACTTTGGCAGGATGGAGTTGGAAGCCATTATCCTTCCAAAAAACAAACTACAAAGCTATAGTAATCAAGACAGTATGGTACTGGGTATAGACAAATGGCTCCAAGGGACAGAATAGAGGGTTGAAAAATAGACCTGTGCTTGTACATCCAATTGATTTTTGACAAGGGAGCCAAAGCAGTACAATGGGAAAAGCAAAGTCTTTTCAGTAAATAGTGCTGGAGCAACTGGACACCCTCATTTAATAAAAAGCAGTGACCCCTACTTTTCACCATACACAAATATTATCTTGAGATGGCATACACATGTTCATTACAGCACTATTTACAATAGCAAAGTCATAGAATCAACCCAAATGCCCATCAGTGATAGACCGGATAAAGAAAATGTGGTGGCTGGGTGTGGTGGCTCACGCCTATAATCCCAGCACTTTGGGAGGCCAAGGCAGTTGGATCACCTGAGGCCAGGAGTTCAAGACCAGCCAGGCGAAC